CGACAGCGGCGTCTGTCACTCAGCTCGTAGATTTTTCTTTCATTGTGTCGGATGTCTCGCGGAACCAAATTTTGAGGTTGCCCTTGTATGTAAATATACCTTGAAAAGTTGTTATTCTTATTAAAGATGGTTCGAATAAATCCCGAATCTTCCAGTCACTTCGCGCGATGGAGCCGCTAGAATCTCGTCCAGGTTTCCACTTTGTTTTGATTCTTGGCGTGCCGAGATGTATTGAAATTTTCGAATTATGATCGTCAGTATTATTGAAACTGAAAAATTTCAGCGCCTAGACATTGTTTGGTCATATAGTAGTTAAGGAATCAAGTGAAACATTATATATTTTCTGAATAAACCAAATAAACCGAGTTTTACGAACATGACACATACATTTAGCCACCAATGTTTTGGTTTGGGTTGAGTAAATGACGTCATACGTTACTCGCGCCATTCCTCTTGAGCCGAATTCTGTGAGTCGAAGAAATAATGGCGGACGAAAATAAATCGTAAAGTTTTGGCCCTTTCCTTTCGAATATCAGAAAAATATTTCAGTGAGTGGTTCTTAATGTATTCAAGATTATTTCAGCAAAGTTCCAGCTCGAACGAAAGAGTTTTAATTTTGGAGTGATTTTCGTCCAAGTGGCCCTTTAATGAAGTTGACTTGACGAGTTATGAATCAATAAATCATGAACAACTTATTCAAGAATTGTAATTAAGAAAAGAAGAAAGAAAGAAAACCTGTATATAAATATATAGTGTAATCAAGTAATCATTTTGCTGAACTTCTAATAAAAATTGTAAACAAGAATTCTGTTTGTGTGTGTGTCTTTTTGTTTGATGGTAAAATCATAAAGAGCATGGAGTAAACTCAAACTTCAAATTCAGATTACAATTATAATATGACCAATGAAAAGGGAGAAAATGGYGAAGAGGGTRTTGATGGGGGTAAAAAAGATAATGCTCCAACTTTAATTAATCATTACCGTGTTTCTATTTTTATACAATTTTTTTTTCTTTTTCTTTTTTTGAACTAAAAAACGTGTATCACGGCAAAAAGGTTTTAGTTTAGTCTCAACTTGGCTCATAGACTCCACTGTAATTTAGCGCGAACAAAGATTCAAGTCATAGAAAACACAACGCAAAGGGGGGAAATGCAAAAGGATTGTCCAAACTCGGAAAGCCACGCGTTAACAAAAGAATATTTTCTACAGTGTCAAAATTGTACCGAGGCGATAACTCGGATCAAAACAAACACGTTTAAGAATTCGTTTTCACCGCATTTTCTATCAACTCATTGTGATCACTGTTTCGTGGAACGGCAGTACCTTCGAAGAGATTTAGACCCAGAAATTTGCAATTGGAACTACTTTAAAACAATGGAACTTAAAAAGACCCTGGATAGGATTGATAATTTAGTGCATCACTCATTGTAGAACGTTTTTATTTCAATTTTACACCAAGAAAATAGTCGTAACATGTCACTGGGACCACTTTTTGTAACTGAAAGCAAATGAAAACAAAAATAGAACTTAGATCATCACATGCACCATGACTCAACTTGAGCCTGTTGGATAATATGATCGTTACCTCATCTTATTCCACCATTTATTTCAAATCGTAACCCTGATTTCCGATCAGTTGCTGCATCGAGTTGGACCTAGTAACTAGTACAAGACTAAATCACGACTTCAATCGAATCTTCTATCCACTGTTTTTGTAAAAAAAACCTGCCAGATCCTATTCCACCAAGAATGGCGATAAAATGGTAAAGTGTGGAGTCGTTCTCAATTATCCTCAGATACAAGAAACACTAAAACAATTCAAAACGAAGCGTGAAAGACATGAAGCCTTACAAACTATGAAGTTGGGATGTAACATGAATCTTTGCTTCCATGATGCTCAACAACTTGGTTCTTCTCATGAATATCGCATAAAAAAGTTTCCCAAGTGCGAGCACAATGTGTATGCCAAACTCTTGGTGTGCCATTCACAAGCCAACAATGGTAAAGTCTTTTGGGCCTGCCCTGTTCAATACCCTGACATTGATTGTGGTTTCTTTCAATGGGCAACGGATACAACAATTCAAAAAAAAGACAAGCGTAAGCAAGATGTTGTTGAAAGCGAAAGCGACATTAGCGATGATGAAAATGAAGGTCGTTCTTCAAAATCCAGAAAGAAGTCAAGGAAGAGAAAAATGAAAAAACTCAAATGCGAGTCATCTGGTAACGACACTACTAGTGAAAGTGAATCTGAAGACGAGCGCCCCCATTAAAGAAGAAGAAGAAAAAATAAATGCTAGGCTTAAAATGAACTCTTATCTCTAACAATTGTTTTTCAATTTTTTACCTTGTAATCATAATTTATATTTCACTCATTTAAAGATAAATAAATATACGATTTTTAAAAACCTACCTGAGACTTAATTCATTCTTGACTTGTGTACTTGCGCGGGCATGTAGTGACGTCACCTCACCTTTTGGTTTGCGCGCGCACTTTTTTTTTTCCGTTCATTCGAGATTGGGCTTGAGCTAGCGCGCCTTTGCACCCCCTCCCCTCCCCTCCTTTCCCCTTTGCTCTCGTTTCCATGGTTATTGCATTTCTTGAATCTATGAATATAATGAGTCGTCTATCCATAGTCCCCACATACTACTATGGAGAAGTAAAGTACGATTCATTTATTTATCTGAATTGAGCTGGCAAAGCATTTTAGTGGCTTCAAATAATTTATTCATCCAACTTGAGTTTGGAGCCGACTTGGCGAGCTTCAAGTCAAAACTGCCAAAACGCGTGTTTTCTTTTTGAAGATAGCTCAAAAATGGCCCAGAAAATTTTAATTTATTTTTATAAATCTTGTTGCTTATAAACTGGAGTAGTAAATAAAGATTCTCTATGATAAAAATTCCTTTTTCTGAAGTGAGTTGCTGTTGAAACGATTCCATGGCTTCCATCCACGTCACTCACAGAGACTGACTCCACAATGAGTTTGGAGTCAACTTTGTGCGGTGAGCTTGAAGTCAAAACTCTAAAAGCGTGTGTTTTCTTTTTTTGAGACAGTTGAAAAATTGCTCAGCAAAAAATAAGAATTTCATTTTCTAAGACGATTATTTTTCTATGCACTGCGGGAGAAAATAACGATTTTCTAAGAGCAAAAACATATGTGTGAAAGAAGTTTTGAAACAATTTAATGGCATAAAGGTCACATATAGCCGGTTTGATTGCCCCCACCCCACGGTTGGTTAAAATGACTGTTTTAGTATATAACAACAAGGTCAAATCAAAATTGTCTTCCCATGGCCTTACAAAAAAGTGAACCAATTACACCTGTTTTTCATTAGAAAATAATTAATTAACATTTGTTGTTTATTATTGCAACGTTGTATATGGTGGATACTGGAAACAAACAAACAAATAAGCAAACAAACAAACAAGCAAGAATTTTTTCACATCATTAAAAGAGTAGGGTTAGGGTAAGGGGTATAAAAATATGTGGTTAGGGTTAGGGCTGAAGTTTGAGTTAGGGTAGGGCTACGGGATTACCAACGGGATTAGGGTTAGGTGGGATAAGAATATATGGCTATGGTTAGGGGATATGGAATATGGTTATTTTAAAAGCAAAATGAGGAGATATATTATAAGGGAAAAGGTTGTTTGGAATAAAAATGAAGCAACAAGATAAATAGTCTTTCTAATAAAATAGAAATCTTGAGTTGAGTATAATCGCGCAAGGTTTTATCACAGGTAGCCCAAGCTTGGTTTCTGTGGTGTCCTGTTATAAGGAAATGT